TTGTGTACCCGCAGGAGCATGAGCTTGACTCCGGGTTGTTGACATCCGTGGTGACCCGGCGTGTCTCCCTTCCAGTCCTTCGAGTCACCTTATAAGTTTGCTCCACCCTTGACCCTCCGGGCTGCGTGATAGCAATCTCTCCGGTTTGCTCTGCCGTGTAGGACATACCACACCTAGCATTCTCACGAATGATACGGACAATGTTGGCGGGCAACTGCTCATCCGCCATCTCCTCGTACTCTTTATTCCGCTTGAATGTAGAAACTGCTTCTCTACCTATCACAGCCAGCAGCACCTGCGCGGGACTCTTCCTCCTCAACCCTTTTAGGGTAGCATTCATAGACTCGACTGGGTTTGACGAGTAACAGCCAAAACGTGCAGCCCCAAATCTAGTGGTGGCCCATTTTGCAGACAGCCCTTCCTTTGTCAAGTATTCAACCCCCCCTGGACACTCCTTTTCTATCTTCTCCAAAAACTGCGCAAACACTTCAGCAGTCAAGGCACTTGCGGCAGACTCAATCTTCCCATCCAGGGTCGACCCGAACTTCGAATTGAAGTTACGAACCAAGTGAGTAACACAGAAGGCTTCCCTTGTGTTCGGGAAAACCTCGCGTGCGGCAGCTGCCCATCCCTTTCCCCGATCATGCATGACAATAAAATCTGGAGTGTTTAACTCAGGCACGGCTTCCAATAACAGTTTAAAAATGAAGCTGCAAGCTGCTGTCGTCTCTCCCTCAACCCATGCCATCCCCAAGTTCACAATCTTGTGCTCACAATCAAGCGCACACAAATTCAGAGTCTGGCCACGCCACCTCGTCTTGTTGTGACAACCATCAGCAAACACAATTGGCAGACAATTCAACACTGCTGAGCGAGCACCACGGAAAACCAAGCCAGCACGGAAAATTTTATCTCCGTCCTTCTCCATTGACACACGCGCTGAGGGGTTCAACTCTTTGAACATGGACAACAGACTCTCAAAATATTCAAACCCCGCATCCCCAGCCAGAACATCTTCCTCCGCCAACTGGGCCAAAGCACGATGTGCGGTGTTGTAAGAACATGACACGCCCAAAACCTCCTTCACCTTATCCTTCAAGTCAAGAGGCTTCATAGTGCCATGCGTGACAAATACACGAGCAATGTCTTTGACCTCTTCTATGGTGATCCTTGCAGGACACACGGCACAAAGATCCGCATGCTCAAGATGAACCTCCCTAATCTCCATCATCCCCTTCCTAGGCCCCCGCGCATAAATACGAAAAGGACAAAACCCCTCAGGAGCTGCCACACCTTGAGCAGGCCATGAAACTCCCTTCATAGCCCAACAACGCACATCCACACAAGTAGCTCTATTATAACGAAAAAAAGGTTCGAACCTTTGCTGTCGGGCATACTTTCGAATATCCTTACGCGCCTCCACGACGTTGCGAAAAACACGTCCCTTTGAAAGGTTGACCTCACCCTCATTCTGCAATAACACACTGTCAGGATAGTACATGGAAACAAAGAGAATATATGGTTGAGATCTAAGTACATGATTGCACCAAGTAAAGGGAACAAATAGAAGAAACAGTTGATGCATTGGCTGCATGGCGCAGCCCGTGTGAAGCGCCATGCCAATGCATGGCACAATCGTGGCTGCACCATGCATGGGCTGCATGGCGCAGCCCTTATCAAGCGCCCTGCGGCCATGCAGCCAATGCATGGCGCAATCGAGGCTGCGCCATGCATTGGCTGCATGGCGCATTCGACGCTGCGCCATGCAATGGCTGCATGGCGCAGCCATTATTCTGCGCCATGCCAATGCATGGCGCAATCGAGGCTGCGCCATGCATTGGCTGCATGGCGCATTCGACGCTGCGCCATGCAATGGCTGCATGGCGCAGCCATTATTCTGCGCCATGCCAATGCATGGCGCAATCGAGGCTGCGCCATGCATTGGCTGCATGGCGCATTCGACGCTGCGCCATGCAATGGCTGCATGGCGCAGCCATTATTCTGCGCCATGCCAATGCATGGCGCAATCGAGGCTGCGCCATGCATTGGCTGCATGGCGCAGTCATTATTCTGCGCCATGCCAATGCATGGCGCAATCGAGGCTGCGCCATGCATTGGCTGCATGGCGCAATCGACGCTGCGCCATGCAATGGCTGCATGGCGCAGCCATTATTCTGCGCCATGCCAATGCATGGCGCAATCGAGGCTGCGCCATGCATTGGCTGCATGGCGCAGCCATTATTCTGCGCCACGCCAATGCATGGCGCAATCGAGGCTGCGCCATGCATTGGCTACATGGCGCAGCCATTATTCTGCGCCATGCCAATGCATGGCGCAATCGAGGCTGCGCCATGCATTGGCTGCATGGCGCAGCCATTATTCTGCGCCATGCCAATGCATGGCGCAATCGAGGCTGCGCCATGCATTGGCTGCATGGAGCATTCGACGCTGCGCCATGCAATGGCTGCATGGCGCAGCCATTGTTCTGCGCCATGCAATGGCTGCATGGCGCAGCCCGTGTGAAGCGCCATGCCAATGCATGGCGCAATCGCGGCTGCCTTATGCAATCCAATGCATGGCGCAGCAAATTATGTAGCGCCATGCCAATGCATGGCGCAGACACTATTCTGCTCCGTGTCAATGCATGGCGCATTCATGGCTGCGCCATGCAGGCCTTTTGAAGCGTCACACTGGTTTACACGTGAAATCAGGCATATAACAGTGACTACGTTTACTTATGATTGGTCGAGGACATACCTGTAAGGATTGCTGCTAAACATGGTCGCGAAATTTCCGCTAACTAAGCGAGTAAGGTGAGCTTACGAGGTTTGGGAGGTAACGCGAGGAAATGAGAAGGGGGGTTGAGAGATTTCTAGGGTTGCACTTCGTCAGGTAGAAGACACGTTCAAATCTGCTGATACGCGGTACGTACGGTGTACATTGCGGTTGAAATGTTTGGTTACCAGTTGGGAAATCTGTGGAGAGTTGATAGGTACCACGGAGGGATAATGTGTACCACCGGGGAAATGACGGGTACCACAGGGGAGATCGGATAATCTGATGGGTACCATCGAGCCACGTGGCGGACTGCGTACGTCAGCGGGCTCGATGTTGGTTACCCGGAAGGTAATTACCCTTATCAAATATTCGAGAGAATTGCTCCAAACCCTTGTTTGGAGATCCGGCGTTGCCCACGTGGCCACCATTTGCTCGCGTGGTTCTCAAATTCAGTGATAATTGCTCGAGTGGCCTTGCCAGTGGATTCTCAACGTCTTCTTTTTAGAAGGCACATTACCCTTTTGTTTCTTCTCGCTTGAATCTCTCCGCGTTTTCCGGGGTCGTGCCCGTGGCAATAAGCCAACCATTAGCGGCGAGGGACGGCGAAATGGCTGGCATCGTTTGTCCGTTCTTCTGAGCCGCGGTTCTGCCCAGCCGGTTAGTTTGTAGAAGCATTTCGAGCCGATCTCTACCACTGCGCACGTGCGCTCCCATCCTCCATGCTTCGTCCACTCCCCTCCTGCCACGTGTCACGCGCGTAAGCCCCGCCATCGACGGCGTTAGCGCCAGAATAGGGCAGGCGCGCGCATTGGCAGCGGCGAGCTCGCAGGGCGGGGCGGACGCGAGTGGCGGAGAGGGCGCGGGGGCGGGGGGGGACGCGGAGGGCGGGGTTGGCGCGGGGGGCGGGCCGCGGCTGGTGATATACAGCCGCGATGGGTGCTGCCTGTGCGACGGGCTGAAGGAGAAGATCGACACGGCACTGATGATGGGGACGGAGAGCAGTGCGTTAGAGGGACTACAGATTGAGGTGCGCGAAGGGTTCCCCCATCCCACATTTCCCATCCCCCACTCCCCATCCCACATTTCCCATCCCCCACTCCCCATCCCACATTTCCCATCCCCCACTCCCCATCCCACATTTCCCATCCCCCACTCCCCATCCCACATTTCCCTTCCCCCACTCCCCATCCCACATTTCCCTTCCCCCACTCCCCATCCCACATTTCCCATCCCCCACTCCCCATCCCACACTTCCCTTCCCCCACTCCCCATCCCACATTTCCCTTCCCCCACTCCCCATCCCACACTTCCCATCCCCCACTCCCCATCCCACACTTCCCATCCCCCACTCCCCATCCCACATTTCCCATCCCCCACTCCCCATCCCACATTTCCCATCCCCCACTCCCCATCCCACATTTCCCATCCCCCACTCCCCATCCCACATTTCCCATCCCCCACTCCCCATCCCACATTTCCCATCCCCCACTCCCCATCCCACATTTCCCATCCCCCACTCCCCATCCCACATTTCCCATCCCCCACTCCCCATCCCACATTTCCCATCCCCCCCCACTCCCCATCCCACATTTCCCATCCCCCACTCCCCATCCCACATTTCCCATCCCCCCCCACTCCCCATCCCACATTTCCCATCCCCCCCCACCCATCCCACATTTCCCATCCCCCACTCCCCATCCCACATTTCCCATCCCCCCCCACTCCCCATCCCACATTTCCCATCCCCCACTCCCCATCCCACATTTCCCATCCCCCACTCCCCATCCCACATTTCCCATCCCCCACTCCCCATCCCACATTTCCCATCCCCCACTCCCCATCCCACATTTCCCATCCCCCACTTCCCATCCCACATTTCCCATCCCCCACTCCCCATCCCACATTTCCCATCCCCCACTCCCCATCCCCCATTCCCCATCCCCCATTCCCCATCCCCCATTCCCCATCCCCCATCCCCCACTCCCCATCCCCCATTCCCCATCCCCCATTCCCCATCCCCCATTCTCCATCCCCCATCCCCCATCCCCCATCCCTAGCCCATCCTTCAACCCCCATTCCCAATCCCTCATTTTCCATTCTCAATGGGGATTGAGCACTGCTCTAGAGGGCTGCAGGAAGGAGGGGGAAATGTGTAATATGTGCATGTGCTATTCCTCTGTGCATGGTAGCAGGTGCGGGACATAACGACAAGGCAGGAGTAGATGGAGGCATACCAGTACGAGATCCCAGTCATGATGCGCATGGCGGTGGACCAATCAGGGAAGGATGTTGAGGTAAGTGTGCTTGAATGCTGCATGATGATCCCTCCTACTTTGTTCAACATCTTTTCACTTCCTTCGACATACTTTTACATTCCACGTCGGGTTTCTTTATCAGTTTCCCCCATTTCCTCCCTCCCTCCCTCCCTCCCTCCCTCCCTCCCTCCCTCCCTCCCTCCCTCCCTCCCTCCCTCCCTCCCTCCCTCCCTCCCTCCCTCCCTCTCCCCCTCCCTCCCTCCCTCCCTCCCTCCCTCCCTCTCTCTCCCCCTCCCTCCCTCTCCCCCTCCCTCCCTCCCTCCCTCCCTCCCTCCCTCTCCCCCTCCCTCCCTCCCTCCCTCCCTCCCTCTCTCTCCCCCTCCCTCCCTCCCTCCCTCTCTCTCCCCCTCCCTCCCTCCCTCACTCACTCACTCACTCCGCCCCTCCCCCCACCCAGACTCTCATTCCCCATCAGTCACCCCGAGCATCAGTGGAGCGAATGAAAAAGGCACTAGAGGCTGCCTTTTGAGTAGCTTCCCCCATTCATTGTTCCATCCCTCCTCCCTCCCACCCGCTTCCCCTCCCCCCAGACCCTCATTCCCCGCCAGTCACCACGGGCATCAGTGGAGCGAGTGAGGAAGGCGCTAGAAGCTGCATTCTCATGTTCAACCTAAGGCCCACGTCCTCTGCACATCCTCTCTCTCAGCGACAGCTGCCATTGGTGCTTCTGTTCCTTCCTTCAGTCGACTTTAGAAGAAAGCACATGCTGACATGGCCGGCGACCTTTGGTTCTCTTGTTGAAGAAAAAAACAAAGAAAAAGCCAGCACAAGTAAAAGAAACCCCTTATCCTGGGACTGCATTTTATGAGACTTTGTGCACTCAGAACCTCCGTGTGCCTTCCGTCCTCCAGATTCCTTCATTCAGGCCCCTTCATAAGCACCCCTGTTACAATTCTCTAGTTATATTGCAAAAAGGAAGAAATTATAGTCGATTCCTTCATTTAGTTCTTCCTTTTGTTGTCCAGTATACAGGTCTGGCATAACCCCAAGCTGGTTATTTTAAAAATTCTTAGGAAAAACGTTTTCGCATTTAACCACCTGGGCTTACCGTATCACCGCCTAGACTTATCACCGATAAGCACAATCTTACTCTGTTACTGAAATATCCCTGCCCTGAGTCCTGACAGCGAATCCGAGCTTCCCGCCTTTTCTTCCCGCCGATCGTCGCGCCGCGCCTGTCTGCTCCTCCCCACGGGATTGCTTTTCTTTTCTGGAGGAAATTGGTTGGGAAAGACCGAGAGAATCCGAAAGTTCTTCTAGGGAACGCCTTCCAGACGTATTCAAGAGCCAGATTCTGAAACTGGATGCGCTGAGCAATCCTCGAGGTGCGAGAAACTGAGGCACTGACGGCTGGAGACCTTGGAAGCACTGGGAATTAGGTGAGTCGTCTCAAGAATACTGAAAGTACTGGACTTGACTGGACCTGACATTGTAAACCGGGAGAGATGGGAGCGAGAGTAGGTTAGTTAGACGTAGAATATTGAACCTACGATTTAGGAGGTCGGTAATTATCCAGGTTAGTGCCGTGTTAGGTGTGACGTAACCGCAGCAATGCGCGCTCCGTCTTCCGCACTCGCGGAGATCGCGCAGCGAGCGTCCGCGACGTCCCCGGCGGCGATGAGCAGGCGCGACTCGGCGGAGCAAAACTCGAAGCCCGTTTCTAGGTCAAGCACGCAAGATCCCCGTTTCGGCGCATCCAACGGCGGAGATGCGCCAATACCGTTGTACCACAAGCCGCGGGGCAAGCGGGAAGGCCTGATTTACCGGCTCGTGGCGTTACTGCTGCAGCTGCGCCTGTCCTCCGCATCCGTTGTTCTCTCTGTGCTGGCGATTCTCCTCGTGTCGTTAGCGCTGGTCGGGCGGAGAGGAACCGACGCGAGTTTGCAATTTGGCGATAACTTAATGACGGGTAGTGAAGGCATAGAGGTGAGGCCGACCGTCGCAGGCGTCGCAGGCGACGCGGGAGAGATGACGTGGATGGAGGTGGAGCGGCTCGCGAGGGGCGGCGCGCGAGCGCAGGACCGGTTCGGGTTCGGAAGCCTGAAAGGCGACGGGAGGAGCGGAGGGAACGGGGGGAGCGGAAATGTCGACACGCTCGCAACGAGCGGAGAGAAAGGTACAAGAGAGAAGGGCGAGACGAGCGAGGTGGTCGGAAGAAGCGGCATTTCGGCGGTTGACTCGATTGACTTGATTGACTTCAAAGACTTGGTTGTCCACGCGGCAATCGATCTCCCGGACTTTATCCTCCTCCTGTTGCGGCCGCTGGCTCCATCTGACTCGCCAAAATCCGACGTGGCAGCTGGTTACACGGCCGCTGACGTGGCAGCTGCAACTGGTAAGCGATCTTTGGAGGAGGGAGCCTCTAACGGAATGTTTAGGGGCGCGCGGTTCGGCAAGGCTCGAGTGTCGCAGCAGCAGCTGGAGCGGATAAAGGAGATGCAGTGCAGCTTCGCGGAAGGTTCGTTGACTGCTCGCACGCGGGTGCTACAGGTGTCGGCCGATGGGCTCGACGCGGTGGGCGACGTCGGCGACTTGAGCAACGTGAGCGACGTGGGCGACGAAAGAAGCAGCAGCCGTGGGGGCAGCAGCGTCAGTAGCAGCAGTGGCAGCAGCAGCAGCGGTGGCGGGGTGGAGAGGGCGATGGGGGGGAGCAGCAGGCGGCGGTTGGCGACTGTAGGAGTGTCGCAAGAGCAGCGAGGGGACACCGGAGTGGGGGTGCAAAGGGCGGCCGGCGAGAAGGCAGGCGGGAACGGGACGAGGGAGGAGGGAAGGAGAGGGATGGGAGGAGGGCAGGTGGGAGAGGCGATTACTGGTGTTATTTACGTGCACTGTGCTCGGCCCCATGGGGAGATTGCGACGGTAGCTGCAAACACAGGCAGTAGCAGCAGCAGTAACAGTAACAGCAGCGGGAGCAGTGACAGCAGCAGCGGTGCCAGCAGCCGTAAGGGTGTGCAACTGACGCTAGAAGACAAGGCAGGCGGGCGGCTGGGCGGCTCAGTCGTGTGGCAAGCGCTGAACCACCGCAAGAGGCCGCCGCCCCTAGTGTACGATGCAGTGACGGTGCGGAGGGGGGAGAGGAGGGGGAGGGAGGTGCGGGAGGGGAGGGGGAGAGGTTATGATGGGAGGGAGGAGAAGGGAGATACAGTGGAAGGGGGAGAGAGGGAGGAGAGGGAGGGGAGGGAGGGCGTGTATCTGTTCGTGAGGGGCCTGCAGACCAACCCGCACCTGCCGCCTGTGCTCGCCAATGTGACGTGCGTGTTTGGGGCGGATGGGGGGACAGGGAGGACAGGGGGGACAGGTGCACTGGGGAGCGGCAATGAAGGGGCAGGGAGTGAGAGAGAGGCGGAGCAGGTGGGGCTGCTGCGAGTGCCGGCGCGGGCTGCTGCTATGGAGGTGGTGTTCTGCCCTCTGCCCGACCGTGCTGCTGCTGATGGCGGTACCGGCAACAGCAGCAGCAGCGGCGGCGGCGGCGGCGGCAGCAGCGGCGGCGGCGGCGGCAACGGCGGCAGCGGCGGCGGCAGGGACGGCACTGGGGTGGGTGCAGCAGCGATGGTCGCAAATTTGGCGATGCGGACAGTGACGGTGGAGTTCGAGGGGCGGCTGTTCCCGTCTGTAGCGCTCTTTGTCCCCGTTGACCCGTTTGACCAGCCCGAGGCCCCTCACGGCCAGCAGGATGGGGACGAAGGATCCAACGGTCAGCGTAGCAGCGATGGGAGCCAGAATGGTGGCAGTGATAGTGATGGTGGGAGGACTGGTGATGGTTTGAGTGCCGGCAGTGCTGGTAATGGCAGTAGTACGCGTGTGGGAACTAAACAGGAGGCGGGAGTGGAAGCAGGGGAGGAGGTGGGAGGCAGCACAGTGGGTGAAAGCGGCTTGAACAGGGAGAAACCGCATTTTGTGTGCGTGTGCACGATGATTTTCAACGTGGGGAAGTTTCTGCGCGAGTGGGTGGTATACCACCACTGGATGGGCGTGGATCGGATCTTCCTCTACGACAACAACAGCGAGGACAACACCACAGCTGTCGTCGCCAGCCTGGCGGCGGACGGCGGCGCTCGGCTTGTTGTGGGCACGCCGGCCGCCCAGGCTGCGGCTGCGGTGGTGGCAGAGGCGGCAGCACGGGGAGGGGGAGGGGGAGGGGGAGGGGGAGAGGAGGAGGGGCGGTTGGGAAGGTCTGGAAGGTTGGGAGGTGCGGCTGTGGCAGGAGGGGAGGAGGTGGGGATTGAGGGGGCCCAATGGTGGGTGCGGGCAGGGTTTGTCGGCTCCACTCACAACCAAAGCCATGCCGCATCACCATCAGAAGTAGATCCGTCTTCCCGATCACCCTCCTCCCCTTCCTCAATCTCCTCCTCCTCCTCCTCCGCCCCTCACTCTCGGCCCTCCACCCCAGTGGTAACCCTACACCCGTGGCCGTGGATAAAGTCCCAACAAGCGGGGTTCTCCCACTGTGTGCTGCGGGCAGCGAGGCAGTGCGAGTGGGTGGGCTTCATAGACGTTGATGAGTTCGTTGCTCCCAAGTTCATCGCGCATATCGCTGAGAAAAGGAAGGATTTGGGGGGCGAGGTGCGGGAGAAGGGCGTGTTTATTCCGCATTTGCTGAGGAGGGTGGTGAGGGCGAGTGAGAAGGAGATAGAGGAGGTGGTTGCGAGGAAGGGAGTCAGGGGAGAGAGGGGGGAGGGTGAGGTCAGGCGGCGGAGAATGGCAGGTGGGGGCAGGGGGGAGGTGGTGGGTGGGGGTGTGAGGGAGAGAGGGGGAGAGGAGGTGGGAGTTGTGGCAGGTGTAGCCGATGTGGAAGGTGCAAGGGAGAGTGGAGGCGTGGGGGGAGGTGTGGGTCGGAGACTGCTTGCTGGTGGTGAGGGTGAGGGTGGGTGTGACGGTGGGGGTGAGGGTGAGGGTGAGGGTGAGGGTGGGGGTGAGGGTGAGGGTGAGGGTGGGGGTGGGGAGTTGGAAATTAGCAGCAAAGGGGCAAATAGCAAAAAGGGAGAGAAGGGGAAGAAGGGCAAGAAGATCAGGGGTAGCAAGAAGAGCAAAGGTGAGGATCGTGACGGGAAGCAGGCCAAGAAGAACAAGCAGGCGAAGGAAGAGGAAGAGAAGGAGGAGGAGGATGAGGAGGGGATGAGGAAAGGGGAAGTGGAGAAAAAGAAGAAGCAGAAGAAGAGCAAGAAGGGGTCCGGCAGCTCAGAAGCTACGGGAGAAGGGCAGGAAGGAGGCAGTGACAGCACGGCAGCGAGCAGCATGGAGAGTGAGCGAGCAGAGGACGACGTGCGGCCGCTGGGGCAGATCTCCTTCCCCTGTGTGGACTTCGGCCCCTCAGGCCTCTCCCAGCACCCCCAGCAGGGGGTCTCAGTGGGGTATACCTGCCGGGCGCGCAAGCCTGACCGCCACAAGTCGTTTGTGCGCCCCGAGGCGGTGGCGGACTCGCTGCTGTGCCACATTCATCAGTTCGAGTTGAAGGAGGAGCGGTACCGCACCCAGGTGTTCTCGGGGAGGGTGCGACTGGCCAACATCAACCACTACAAGTTCCAGGTGGGTGGGTTGTGCTGTGCTCCTTGAAGGGCTTGCTGCTGTGTCATATCCACCAGTTTGAGGAGAAGGAGGAGAGGTTCCGCAGCCAGGTGTTTTCCGGGAGGGTGAGACTGGCCAAACATCAACCACTACAAGTTTCAGGTGGGTTGTGGGTGGGAAACTCGAAATGTGCCATATAGGGCTTGCTGCTGTGCCACATTCACCAGTTTGAGCTCAAGGAGGAGCGGTTCCGCAGCCAGGTGTTTTCGGGGAGAGTGCGACTGGCCAACATCAACCACTACAGGTTCCAGGTGGGTGGAAATGAAGGGAACAGATAAGGTGTATGAGAGTGTATATTATCCCATGATTTGATAGTTCCGATCATCTGCTCTTTCATGCTTTGCTTGGTATTTGTCCGCAAGAAAGCTCGTTTAAATCTGCCCTCTCCTCTTTCCTGTGTGCCTGGCAGGTGTGGGATGAGTTCAAGGCCAAATATCGGCGGCGAGTGGCGACATACACCAAGGACTGGAAGGGGGCGAAGCAAAACAGCATTGATTTAATACCTGGGCTTGGGACAGATGCATTGGAGCCTCCTGATTGGGCGGGTCGGTTCTGCGAGCGCAACGACACCGTGTTGAGGGATTTTGTGAAGCTGGCCTTTGCTGTGGAGGAGGACGGGAAAGGAGGGGATGTGAGGAACCGGACATGCTTGGCGTGGGAGTGAAGGAAAATTAATAGTAATTGCATAGAATTTATGCTACAGTGTTTAGGCAACCAACATCAGTACCATAATGAAGTGGCTTGCTTTGTGATGCGAGTGCGGTGCAGAAGATAATCAAAATACTGTACATTATGAAACATTTTACCCGAATCACTGCATCATCCGATTTCGGGTACCCACACATGGAGACTGCCCTTAGCGAACCTTTTCATCGGCGTGCTTGTTCAGCCGCTCTTGAACGTATCGAACACCCATCAGTGCATATCGTATGCGATCCCGGCGAGTCACCGATTCGTCACTTATTCCGTCAGCATCAGACTAGGGCAGACATTCGAAGTCTGACAGAGTTTTACGGTAAAACTTTTACCTGCTCTGCTCTGGTCTGGGGTGCTGCTGGGCGCGGGGCCCATGGCTGCCGCTTGCGCTTCGCATTCGCCCGCTCCCGCGCTGATTCCTCCGCCGATCTCTCCGCCAATTCTTCCGCTGATTCCTCCGCTGCCCGATGACGTCAGCATCGCGTGCCTGGCTCGCCTCAGTCTCTGGGACCTCGCGGTCGTGCGCTGCGTGTCCCGCGGCTGGGCGGCGGCGATTGCGAGCGACTCGTTCGCGCAGCAGCGGCGGCGGCAGCAGGCGCTCGGCGCGCAGAGGGTGAGGGTTGTAGCGCGGCACGGGGAGGAATGCGGTTCGTGTGCTTCATGCCCGGAATGCGCGGAATGCCCGTCGTCCCTTGCGTGCTGCTCACACGGGGACGCCCGCGATTGTACTACTGAGGGGAGAGGCGAATGTGATATTAACGGGGTTAACGGCTATGTGTGTCTGTGCGCGGCGAGCAGACGGCATCCCGGCAGGCTCGACTGGTTCGCCTTCGATCTCTCCGCGCCTGCGCGCGACGACGACCTTCCCCCCGCCTCCGCCGCCTCCGCGTTCTCCGCCGCATCCGCCGGCAGCAGCAAGGGAACGCGATGGACGTTCAGCGGAAGCGCCTGTAACGAATCGCGTCGAAGCGCGGAGGGCGCGGGAAGCTCCTGCAGCAGCAGCGGCAGCAGATTTCGACTGTCAGCATGTGGACGGTCAGGATGCGGCGGGCTCTCTGGATCCAACGGTTACGGAAGATGGCGCCGGCTGCCGCCCATCCCGCCGTCCAATCCGCACGGGTCGCAGCGGTGCCGCCATTTCTCAGTCGCCGCCATTCCTGGTTGGGGCCTCGCGATCGCGGGGGGAGTGGTACTGGGTACGGGAGAGGCGGTCCGCCACGTGTCACTGTTTGATTGGCTGGCGGGGCGGTGGGTGCAGGTGCAGCATGAGGGGTTTTCAGCGCGGTTGGATCCGGTGGTGGTGTGGGCGGGGGGGAGGCTGTTCGTGGGGGGAGGGGGGGAGATCGGGGGAAGGGGGAAGGTGGGCGGAAGAGGGAACGTTTGGGGCGCAGGGATGGGCGGAGTGCAAGGAAGGGGAGGGGCGGAGGGGGAGATGATGAGGTGTGAGGGGGGGAACACAGGCGGGGAGGGGGAGGGGGAAGGGGAGGAAGGGGGGTTGGGGGATATTTCAGTGAGCGAAACAACATCTGTCATCGAGCTACCCACACTAATTAAGCTATTCACACCCCCCTACTCCTCACCCCCCTCGTCTGTTCTATCCCCATCCTCCTCCCCCTCCTCCTCATCCCCGTCACCCTCACTCTCGCCTTCAAGCACACCCTTACCAGTAACCAACCCAACTGTAACAACCTCTCTGCACCCCTCCATCTCCCCTCGCTCCTGCGACATCATTTGCGTTGCTAACCGCGTATACGCGCGTTACCGCCACCGCCTCACCTGCTTCGCCGACCACCCCACGTCCCCCTCAGCCGCCCCTGCTACAGCCGGTGCTACAGGCAGGGCCAGTGGTGCAGGGTGTGTGCTACAGCTGGATGTGAGCAGTGGGAGATGGGGCCTCGCCCCCCCATGCGACCCTATCCACCGCCTGGCTGCTGCTGGCTTGCTCGCTCTGATACCATCATCACATTCCATGCACACATGTTCCCATGCACATGGCTGGGCGGGCGGTGCTACAGTGGCAGCGGTACAGCATAGCTTGTCTCTTCTGCTGCTGCAGGGCGAGCCAAACGCCCCTCCCTGCAAACCCCCCTGCACTGCTTGCTCTAGGCATCAGCAGCAGCTAGAAAATCGGGAACACCAAGGGAGAAGGGATGTGTGGCGGGAGGGAGCATGCGTGTGGGAGATGGCAGTGGGAGCAGCAGGGGGGGGCGGGGCAGGAGGGGAGATACTGTGGGGGGCGCAGCTGAAGCAGGTGGTGGTGGCGGGGGGAAGGTTGTTTGCACTCGTGTTGCTGGTGGATCGAGGGAGGCACGTGATGAGGGAGATGGGCGTGCATGGCAGGCAGGCTGGCGTGGTGGGGCCGGGAATTGAGCTCCCAGGAGAGGCATATGTGGCGCATGCGGTGGGGCTGTGCGTCTAGATACAGTGCATGTGATGGGTGGTGCAGCTGAAGCAGGTGGTGGTGGTGGGGGGGAAGGCTGTTTGCTCTAGAGGAAGCTGAATGCAAGGCCCATACTAATTATATAGCAGAAGTCCTGAGCCATTTTTAAGGGTCGAAACAACTATATCCTACACCGAGTTTATTCAAGACAATGTATTGCACTTGAGGTTGTCTTTTTAGTTAATAGCTACACTTGAACGACTGCACAATACCAGGTCACCATTATGTAGCACGTTTCGGACCATGTAGTTTGTGGACGCCGCTAGTCTCTTGTGTCGCACCGGAGGCACCTAAAAACGAATTCTTTCAACCCTATTTCCTCACGTGCAAAACCAATCACGGTTCTGGACATAGGGTTTTCCCTTTCCACCTTCACCGCTCCGTTTAGAAACAACTGACGCTCGGATTAGTCGTTTCTCGCGAAAACCCCGAACCAGGAACGTCAATGTGTTTTTCCAAGAGACCTTTGAATTGTCCCTGCATTTTCACCGTTCTGGAATACCCCATGTTGTTCCCCTGCCCCTGTTCCTATCTTTCTTGCCCCTGTCTCTTACCCCTGCTCGCCCCTCCTCGCTTCTCCCTTTTCTCCTTCCCATCAGACTCCCACCCCTCCTTCTCCTCCCCCTCCGTCCCCCCCGCATCCCTCCCCTCCGTCACATGAATCTCGTCAGGAAGTGCTTCCTTGGGGCACAAAGAGGGTCAGACCTGAATGCATTCCCCTCCCTTCCATTCCAAATAACCGCATCACCTCGCGTCCCCTTTCCCCCCCACATCCCACCCACCCCTTTCCTCCCTCGATACAGCTCGAGGGGTTTTTCTCCACTGTGGGTCCCATCCGAAAGTGTTCCTTCGTGGCCCAGCCAGGCGCAGCACTGAACGCTCTTCTCCCCCCCGCCTGCTCCCCTTTTATCCCCCCTCCTCCCCATCACATCACCCCGTCTGCAGCTCGAGGGGTTTTTCTCCACCGTGGGTCCTATCCGAAAGTGCTTCCTCGTGGCCCAGAGAGGTGCGTCCCTTACATCCGCTATATTGATGGGGGTAGTTGCTATTTGTGGTCTGTCAATCCCCCTTATTTTGTGATGTACATTTGCAGTAGGAGGCATTGTTATGGCCAGCAGTCATGCTGTTTTCATTCCCCCCACCTCACCTGCTCTTGCGTCTGCTGTCCCATCTGCTCCTCCTCTCAATTTCTCCTCTCAATTTCTCCTCTCACCTGCTCCTCTCATCTGCTCCTCTCATCTGCCCCTCCATCTGTCCTCTCCTCCCATCTGCCCCCCCCTCCCATCTGCCCCTCCCATCTGCTCCTCTCACATGCTACAGGCGCGGAGACGCATCGAGGGATGGGCTTCGTGCAATAGTGAGTGCAGCTCGCGTCTATTTCTTTGCGCCATGGGTGATTGCTCAGCTCATGCTTATGCGTCCTGAAAATCTCCGGTTCCGCATCAAGTGTTTCTGCGTGGCTCTTCAACTCTTCCTTCTTGCACCCCAACCAACCTGAGCATGCCCTTTTGAGAACTCTCAAAACTGAGTGGGCATGCCCTTTTGCGCCCCACCTCGCATTTCCTTCCCAGGCAGCAGCGCCCTGCATCCCTCCCGTTGATTCCTCGCCCTCTCGTGCCTCCCACCTCCCCACCTCCCGATTCCCAACCCGACCAGCGCGCTAGCAGAGGACGCAGAGAGGGCAGTGACGTGACGGAGTGTTGGGGAACGCGGTTGGAGGGCAGACCCGCTGACCCGTCGCATATCTTAATAATTAGCCAGTTCCGTGCTTCCTCTCGCACCCCCTGCTGCTAACCGGTACCCCACCCCTCCCCGTGCCCCCCCCCCTCTTACCCCCCACCAGCGCTCTAGCAGAGGACGCAGAGAGGGCAGTGAGGGAGCTCGGGGGAAAGCGCCTGGAGGGGCGACCTCTGGCAGTGGAGCTGGCGAAGAGGAGAGCTTCTTTGGGCGAAAGGCTGGCTAAACGAGGGCCGCGACCACAAGGTGGGTGGGGAAAAGGAGGCAGGTAGGGTATCTATGATCTATCATGGGGGGCAGTACTCCCTGGCTCTGGCTGGTAGGGAAAGCGGCTGGAGGGCAGGACTCTGGCAGTGGAGCTGGCGAAGAGGAGAGCCTCTTTGGGCGAAAGGCTGGCAAAGAGGGGGCCGCGGCCGCAAGGTGAGTGGGGGACGGGCAGGCAGGAGAACTAGCAAGGGAAGGGAAGGTCGGCCTGTCGTTGGCTCGGTGGGGGGGGCAGCTGGAGGGGCGACGGCGACCTCTGGCAGTGGAGTTGGCGAAGAGACGGGCGCCTCTGGGAGACAGGCTGGCAAAGCGAGGGCCGCGATTGCAAGGTGAGTGGGAGGAGCAGGAAGACAGCAGGCGGAGAGAGGGCGGGGCAACTAGCTCGTAAAGGACGGCCTGTCTTTAGCACCTTCGCTCAGGGAGCGGCTGGCAAAGGGCCGCAAGTGGAAGGTGAGGAGCAGCACAATGGTTGCCTGCTGCTTTCTTTGGAGAATTCTTAAGAATCGCTTTAAGGAGTGGTTCGATGGTTGCTAGCTCTCTCCCTTGCATCCATATCCCTCCCTTCTCCTGCTCCGGTCTCTCTCTTGGTTTCTGCAGCACACCAAGTGGAGGACCAGGATGATCTGACAGGCCTGCATGGGCTGGGAAGGGAAGGAGCAACGTGATGGCTCCTCCAACCAAGCCTCCCTTGCTCCCATTGCTTCCTTATTCCCATCTCTTTCTGTATCTGCAGCCCATCAAGTGGAGGACCAGGATGATCTGACGGGCCTGCACGGGCTGGGGAGAAGCAACGACCCACATGGTGGCGGGAGCAGGGGCGGTGCTACAGATGCCATGCGGAGGAGAGGAGAATACCCACTCGCATCACCACCTTCCCCGCTGCTGACATTTCTGTCTGTCGTGCTGCCTTGCAGCCCAGCAGGTGGAGGATCAGGATGACTTGACGGGCTTGCACGGGCTGGGGGAGAGGAGCAACACAATGGTTCCTCCATCCAACCAAGTGTTCCTTGCTCCCACCCCTTCTGTGCTTCCATCTTTTCCTTGGTTTCTGCAGCCCACCAGGTGGAGGATCAGGATGACTTGACGGGCTTGCACGGGCTGGGGAGGAGCAACGTGCCAGATGGAGCAGGGAGGAGGAGTGGCGGAGCTACAGATGTCATGGGGAGGAGAATACCCACTCGCATCACCACCTTCCCCACTGCTGACGCCGATGCACCTGCTGCTCCTCCTCCTTCTGCTGCTGCTCCTGGTGTCCCTGCCCTACCATTTGCTCCTGCTGCTCCTGCTGCTCCTTGCCACGAATGCTGTCCCTGCCGCCCCTGCTGCTGCTGTGAGCGCACCTGCTGGTGCCCGGGACAAAGCCACAGTTTTAGCAACACCAGGCAAGGACGGTGAGGGGAGCAGCAAGAAGAAGAGGAAGGAGAACAAGGAGAAGAATGGCAATAAGGACCAGCCTGCTGCTGCTGCTGCTGCCACCCTTTCTACTGCTGCTGTAACTGCTCAGGCTGCTGCTGCTGGAACGGCAGCAGGAGGCAGCAAGAAGGAGAGTGGCGGGTCGTCGTTAAAGCAAAGGTGAGGCAGCATGCTGCTCTTCGTCTTGTGACTCGCCAAAGGTAAGATAACCTATCAGGAGCGCCCTTGCTCGTTGTGTGTGTGCTCTTTGCAAGTGCACGTTTCTGATTTGCCCATCTTAATGTGCCAACCTCGGGTCCCCCGTCATGCCTCTCCTTGTACCTCTTGATCCCTGTCATCCCCTTTCCCATGCCAGCCAGCACGGTCGTGTTTGGGGAGCTCTCATCCTCGGCAGCTCATGTTCTCTCTACTGCTCCTGCTGCTTTCTCTACCCCCGTGGAGGTCACCAACCCCCCGCACCCCCCTTCACACCTCTCCTCTCCCCTCCCTCTCCCAGGCTAGCCCGCACCGCACAGTGGTTTTGGGGGGGCTCTCATCCCTGGCCATAGTGGCACATGTCCTTACCACTGCTGCGGCCGTCGCTGCTCGAGAGGAGGTCACCAACCCTTTCTTCCCCGTACCACCTTGTTCCTTCATCACCTCTATCTCCCAGGCCAGCCCGCACGGTGGTGTTCGGAGGGCTTACATCCCCAGCCGCAGTGGCGCATATCCTCTCTGCTGTTGCCGTCGTTTCTGTGTTTTTTCGCTTTTCTTAACGGCCAACCGCCCCCCACTCTCCTCCCTCTTGCAGGCCAGCCCGCACGGTGGTGTTTGGGGGGCTTTCATCCCCAGCAGCTGTAGCGCATGTCCTCTCCGCTGCTGCTGCCATCGCTGCCCCTGAGGAGGTCACCGATCCACTGCCCGAGGATGCTCTCAAGGAGAGAGGTGAGTTCAATCATTTTGCACAATTTTGTTGCTAGTCAAATTAGGTCAGCACTGCCATCGCTTCCCCCGAGGAGATGACCAACCCACTGCCAGAAGATGCTTTCAAGGAGAGAAGAGATGATAATTAGGATCATTGTGGCTTTTCGGTCCACTGAAATGCCACCCTCTCAAAAAGTCGCCAACCTCTACCCCGCGCCTCCCTTCTCCAGGCCACCCCGCACTGGCCTGCAAACACAAACGACTCATCGTGGCTCTTTCTCATCGTCTCCCTCTCCGTGTCGTTTGCGTTTGCAGTGCCTGACTCAACCCACCTTCTCCTCTGCTTGCACCCCCCTTCTGCCTCCCTCCTCCACCCCTCCACCAGGGCTAGCCCTTGATGGCTGCACCTCCCCCGCGCTCTCTGTTGTCTTCCCATCGGTGCGCGCCGCCCGCCAGGCGGTGGCTTCACTGCACGGCTGCACGGTTGGGGGCGGCACGGAGACGGGCGGCTCGGAGCAGAGCGTCACTGTGTGGGCGAGGCAGCTGGGCGGCGAGGTGGGTGATTGTGACTCACAAGCAGGCCAAGACGTTAGTTTTGTGGTGCTGAGGGTCAGTGGTGGTGTGCTGAGATAGTGTGCTGTGCTGCTTTACCTCTCCGGGGCTTGCTTGCTGCCTCTCTTTTCAACCTCTTGGCTCTCTTGTCCGACCCTGCATGTGTGTGAATGCATGCATGCATGTGTGGCCATCATCTCATCGGTATGAATATATATGGATGCATACTTACATCACAGGGTTCAAAGTCTCTCAGCAATCGGGTCATTGTTCGCAACCTGCCCTTCAAGGTGCGTTGCGCACAGCACGGTGCTCTTCTCTTAACTTGTTTTGGGGGTAATTTATAGAAAAACAATTGTTTCATAATGAGGTACTTGTTGCAAGGCATTATCATACTCGTTTGTCAATGTCATATACAATCAATCACCTTAAAGCTGCCATGCGAAAACTCGATTATCGTTATCGTTAGTACATGCGATGGCACGTTCCAAAACTCGATTGCTTTGCTTTCGTGATAGTTCACTCACTCACCTGTCATCCGGATTTGCATCTTTCCATTGTGAACGGGTGTTTGCTGCGTGTGTGGAGAGAAAATGACACGATGCCAGGTGGCAGAAGCGGATTTGAGGAAGGCCTTTGCTGTTGCGGGCTTCCCATGGGCTGTCAAGATACCACATGGGGAGGATGGCAGGTGAGACCTGGTGCAGGTGAGAGCTGGTGCAGGTGAGAGCTGGTGCAGGTGAGAGCTGGACGGCAGGTGAGAGCTGGTGAAGGTGAGGCCTGGACGGCAGGCGAGGAGATGGAAGATGGGTGGATAGCGAGTGAGGAATAGCAGGTTTGCTTTGTTAAAGAATAAATTATCCTACTGCACCCTAACATACCCCACTGCACCCTAGCTTCTACACCCTACCGCAACCTATTACACCTAATATTAGTTCGTGCTTCAACTGTTTCCCCCTAATCGTCTTTGTGCCCTTTGCCTCTGTGTGTGCCGTTCCCCCGCCCTCGCGACTGCGTGACAGGCCTCGAGGATTCGCGTTTGTCACATTCACTACGAAGAGCGATGCAGCAAAGGTGAGCGACCTCTCTCTCTCTCTCAGACATCTGAGTGAGCTTCAGCTTTGACACCCCCCGACTGACTGTTCTGTTCCCTGGCTGGCGTACAGGAAACACAAGCGTTCATCTCAAAGAGCTAGGAATTTCACACCTGTCTGTCAAAGGCGCAGCCATTCTTTCCCAATTGCCCCCTCTGTCCTCTGGCAGGTTAATAAGTTAAACGGAATGACCATTGTCGGGGGTGAGAGGATGACCTGAAAATTGCATACACGTTCCCTTTTCCCCCTCTTGCTCCTGGCAGGCTATTGGATCAGTCAATGGCACAGTCACATGGGCGACGAAAGAGTGACTCAAACAACCCACCGTCACTCGTTCTTTCCTTTTCCATACTTGCTCCTGGCAGGCTGTTGAAAAGGTCAACGGCACGGCCATTTGTGGGCGGGCTGTGTCGGTGGGATGGGCGGTGGCAAAGAGGGAGCACATGGAGAGTGTGGCGAAGGAGAAGGCGAAGGAGAACAGAGGTGGGTGGGATGGGATCGATTGGATTGCGTGTGAAGAATAGAGTGCTTGAATGTGTGTGCGGGTGGGATGGGCAGTGGCAAAGAGGGAGCACATGGAGAGTGTGGAGAAGGAGAAAGCGAAGGAGAATAGAGGTGAGATCTCTGTATGCGTGTGCAATGTGCATGTATGCTTATGTTTGTTCGTAAGTTGGATTGGTGGTGGCAGAGAGGAAGCACGTGGAGAGTGTGCGAAAGGAGAAAGCGACAGAGAATAGGTGTGTGTGTGTGTGTGTGTGTGTGTGTGTGTGCGTGTGTGTGTGTGTGTGTGTGTGTGTGTGTGTGTGTGTGTGTGTGTGTGTGTGTGTGTGTGTGTGTGTGCGCGTGTGCGCAAGCGTGCATGCGTGCGTGTTCGTGTGGGGAATAGAGATTGGTTTGTTTGTGCATATAGAACTGAATAGCGTGTACCGGTGGGTGGGCGGTGGCAAATAGAGAGCATATGGAGAGGTCTGTGTGTCTCTCACGCCTGCTGCTTTAACGTTTCCCCCTGCGTTTTTTTGAAGCAGATGGGTTGTCGATGCTGTTCAATTATGAGAATTACAGGATGAGGATAATTCTGAACACCGTTTCTCTGTGCTTCTGCATGTTGATGTTCATCTGTACCCGCTTTCTATTCTCCATTCAGATGGGTTGTCGATGCTGTTCGATGATGAACGAGGGATTTTTCTCTCGAGTCGAGTTGCCTCAAAACTCCTCCCTTCCCCCTTGTTCCATCTCATTACGTCCATCAGATGGGTTGTCGATGCTTTTTGATGATGAAGATGAGGAGATGAATGAGGGAGGGGAGGAGGATGAGAATAATTGGAACACTTTGTTTCCTGTGCTTTTTCATAATTATGTTCACCTTTTCCCTCTATCGCTTCTGTGAATCAGATGGGTTGTCAATGCTGTTTGATGATGAAGATGATGAGATGAACGAGGGAGGGGAGGATAAGGAAGACGAGGAGGAGGGTGAAGATGAGGAAGGGGAGGAGGAGGATGATGAGGAAGAGGAGGAAGAGGAGGTGGAGGAAATGGAAGAAGAGGAGGAGGAGGACGATGAGAGGAAAGCGAGGGTGAATGGTTTCTTAGATATGGAAGCAGAGGAGGAGGATGAGGAGGATGAAGAGGAGGTAGAGGATGAGGATGAGAGTGAGGAGGGAGAGGAGGAGGAGGAGGAGGGGGAAGAGGAGGGGGAAGAGGGGGAAGAGGACGAGGAGGATGGAACAGATGATGAGGAAGAGGAGGTAGATTGGGAGATGGAGATGGGTGGTGGTGGCAGCAGTGGTGCCGTGCAAGGGAGTGAGAAGGATATGATGCTGCGGGTGCTGTCCCGAGTGGTTGAGCAGGGGAAGGGGGAGGAGGGGATGGGGGTCGCAGGGGAGGAAGTAGGGTTGAAAGCAAAAGGTGTGGCTGTGAAAGGTGGGAAGGAAGGGGATGCAGGGAGAAAGGGAAAGGAGGGGAAGGGTGGGAAGGATGGAAAGGCAGGAAAGGATTGGGAGGGAAAGAAGGGTGGCGAGGAGGGCAAGGGAGCAGCAGCAGGGAAGAAGACAGGCTCTCGTGATGGCAAGGAGGAAGGGACGGGCGTGGAGGAAGGGGAGGTGACGGAAGGGAAAGATGGGAAGGAGGAGAAGGCAGAGGCACCGCCAGCGACGGTGTTTGTGAGGAACCTGCCGGTGGATGCCTCAGCTGACCGCATTCGAGCAGCGTTTGAACGGTTCGGCAAGGTGGCTGACTGCAGAGTCGTGCTGCACCCTGTTACCAGGTGGGTTAACATGAGTTATTTGTTCTAAGACATGCCATGTGCTGCACCCTCTTATCAGCTGTGTTGCATACCTGTGTGACTGTGTGATGTGACTGCTGGAAGGTGGCTGACTGCCGTGTGGTGCTGCACCCTGTTACCAGGTGAGTGGCTGTGACTGTTCGAGGTGTGTTGCAAGGGTGTTTCCCGGTTACCAGGTGAGAATTCTCAGAAACAGCATGGGTGCATTCATCTCACTCTCCACTCCAATGCACCCCACCCCACCACCTGCTGAATCCCCTCAGGCGCCCCCGAGGCTCGGCATTCGTCCGGTTCGAAACGCACGAAGCAGCGCAAGCAGCCGTGGCAGGCTCGGCCCGAACCGCAAAGGCCAGGGCCGAGGCTGGGGGAGAGGGTCGGAAGGGGGGAGTGGAGGAGGGGATGGTGGTGGTGGGGGGCCAACAGACCCTTGTGACTCTGGCAGTGCGACGGGAGGAGGTGTCTAAGGTGGTGGAGAAGAGGAAGCAAGCGGAGCAGACAGGCAAGGGGAGAGAGGAGGACAGAAGGAATCTTCAGCTGTTGGAGGTGTGTAGGAGAGTGCAGTGGTTCTAAGGGTGCCTGGATGTACTAAAATTTGAGAGGAAGCTGGATTTCGATCAGTTAATTGAAAGTGGAAACCAACCCGTCAGTAGTCATCTCCTCCGTGCATGTTTCTTTCTTCCTTTTTCCCCTTCCTTACATTGTGGCTTAATTTCCTACCTTCTTGCTCCTCCCTCATGGGGCCATGTGCTGCTTGGCATCGCATGGTATGGGATGGTACGGAACTGTATCGATGGTATGGCATGGCATGGCATGGCATGGCATGGCATGGCATGGCATGGCATGGCATGGCATGGCATGGCGTTGCATTACAGGAGGGAGTGATCAAGGAGGGAACACGAGCAGCGGAGGGAATGCCAGCAACAGACATGGAGAAGAGGAAGAGGTGGGTTGGGGAAAGAGGTGCGTTGGGGAAATAGATGGGTTGGGGAAAGAGGTGGGCTGGGGAAATAGATGGGTCGGGGAAAGAGGTGGGTTGGATGAGATGAATGCGTTTACAGCGAAGGGAGATGTTGTGTGTGTGTGTGTTTTTTTTTCAGCCCCGCTCATCGTGTTCAATTTACCTTATTGTGTCCTAACTCAAGCTGAGCACTCCCAAGTTTGTCGCATCGCTGACGTGGCTTCCGACACGGCGCAAAGGTCAATTTTCTTGTTATCTTTTGTGCTCCTATCCCGTCTGTTCCTATTTCAGGCTGCAGCGTGAGAAGCTGATGAAACTAAGAAGTCCCAACTTCGCGGTGTCGCTGACGCGGCTGGCGGTGCACAACGTGCCGCGGGAGTTGGATGAGAAGCAGCTGAAGCAGGTGTTTGTGGATGCTGTGAAGGCGCGGGCCAAGAAGCAGAAGCCGCACGTGAAGCAGGTGAGGGTGATGGTATGATAAGGGAATGAGATGAGTTGATGGGGATATGGGAGGGAGAGAAGCAGCTCAAGCAGGTGTTTGTGGGTGATGCTGTGAGGGCACGGGCAAGAAGCAGAAACAGCACGTGAGGCAGTTGAGGGTGAGATGGTGGGGTGTATCGTTGAGGGTAAAGGGTACCTGGTAATTGGGGGAAGCACCTGAAATGGGTGCTGTGGTAGCCGTGGCTTGGGCCAAGAAGCGGAAACCGCATGTGCAGCAGGTGTGGATAAACAGGGGGGTGAACAGCGTTTTTTTAGAGTACCAGCACCAGCATTTGTTTGACGGGCGCTTTTTTGGCATCTCCACCACCAGCAGCGTTTGCCCACCACCACGCCCTCTGATGGGCCCCTCTTTCGTCTCCCTCCCTTTCGTCATCCTCTCATTCATCGCAGGTGAAGGTGCTGAGGGAAACAGACCGGGTGGGGCCAGATGGCAAGCCGCGGTCTAAGGGAGCGGGGTTCATTGAGTTCAGTGAGCATCAGCACGCTGTGGCGGCTCTGAGGGCGCTCAACAACCATCCCAGTGAGTGCAGTGCGGTGCAGTGTGGTGCAGCATGGTGAAGTAATGTGCAGTACGGTGCTGTGCTGTTATTGAGAAGGCAGGCAAAGGGAGCGGCGTTCATTGAGTTCAGTGAGCATCAGCATGCTGTGGCGGCTCTGAGGGCTCTCAACAACCATCCCAGTGAGTGCAATGTGGTGCATATAAGATGCTGTGTGCGGTGCAGTGTGGTGAAGTGCAGTGCGGTGCTGTGCAATGCTGTGCACTGCCTGCAGGCATAGCATTACCCGTGCCTTTTACTTACACCCATGCCTCTCCCTTACACCCTCTGCCTCTCCCTTACGGCTATGCCCCTCGCTTACGTCTATGCCTCCCCCTCGCGTTCTTGCAGCCATTTTCTCTAGTGACCCTCGCCCCATTGTGGGGTGTGCGATTGAGAACGTTGCAATTGTGAAGCGGAGCGAGCCTTCTTTTCCCCACCACTTATGCTCCTCCGTTCCTTCCCCGTGCCTCTCCTGTGCTCATGACCCTCCCTTGCAGCCATCTTTGAGTCGACTCAAAAGTCACCTCGTTCCTTCCCCGTGCCTCTCCTGTGCTCATGACCCTCCCTTGCAGCCATCTTCTCTCGCGACGGTCGCCCCATTGTGGAGTTTGCGACTGAGAACGTGGCCATTGTGAAGCAGAGGCAGCACCTGTATACATAACGAAGCAGGCTAATTATCCGCCTTCTGTGCTCCTCCAATTCTTCCCCATGCCTCACCTATGCTCATGAACTTCCCCTGCAGCCATCTTCTCTCGCGACGCTCGCCCCATTGTGGAGTTTGCGATTGAAAATGTCTCGATAGTGAAGCAGAGGCACCACTCGTCCATGCCTCTCCATTGCACCCATGCCCCTCCCTTACATCTGTATTCCTCTCCTATTCTCATCATCCCTCCCATGCAGCCGTCTTCTCTCGTGATGCTCGCCCCATAGTGGAGTTTGCGATTGAAAATGTCTCGATAGTGAAGCAGCGGCACCACACGGTGCAGCAGCAGAGCGACAGGCGGCAGGCAGTGCGACAGCAGCAAAAGAAGGAGAAGAGGCAGCAGCAGCAGCAAGAAGCTGGTGCAGCTGGTCTGGGGAAAGCAAGGGGGGCAAAGAGAAAGCCTGAGGAGGGCGAGTCACCTGCTGCTGGTGCCACTGAGGGGTCTCCAGTAAAGAAGAAGCAGAAGCAGGCGAAGGGAGCCAAGGGGCAGATTCAGCAAGGGAAGGGGCAGGGGAAGGACGTGAAGGGGCATGCGGGTCTGCAGGAGCAAGCAGGTGGGAAGGCGGGCGCTGCAACAGAGCAGCAGAGGGCCGGTGTGAAGATAGGAGGTGCAGCAGAGCAGGGAGGGTCGAAAGGCAGTGGGAAGGCCGAGTTGAAGAGGAAGCAGAAGGGTGTAGCAGGGAGCGCTGGTGTGTCTCCTGCTGCTGCAGTGAAACCTGCTGCTGCCTCTCCTGCGGCTTCTATGAAGGCTGCTGCTGCTGCCGTGAGTCCTGGTGCTAAAAAGGCAAAGACAGACCCTAGGAAGGGAAAAGCAGCGGTGGCAATGAAAGCTGTTGCTACCTCTCCTGCTTTTGCAGTTAGTCCCAGTTCTAAAAAACAAAAAGGCAGACGCAAGGAGAGGAGAAGCAGCGGCTGCAGTGATGGAGGCTAGGCGGGCGCAGGCCGCACTGGCTGGGCTGGGAAGTGGAGGTGGTGGGGGGGAGAGGGGCAAGGCGAGGAGCAAGAAGGGGTCGGAGCACCAGGAGTTGGTGGATGAGCTTGATAGGCTCGTGGCGGATTACAGATCGAAAAACTATGGGTGAGAGAGGGAGTACAAGGGAGCCAGAGCATCACGAGCATTTGGGATGCGCATGATTGGCTATGAGTCTGAGAGTCTGTTTGATGAGCTTGCAGCAGACTACAGTTGAATAATTATGAATTTGACTTTGGGGGGAGTAAACATTGATGGCGTGAACCTCAAAAAGCGTTCGAAACGACATTTGTTTGCTTAATCTCTCTGATATTGGTATTGGAGGTGGTACATGAATAATTGAAAACTCAAATGAGCTGTTACGGAACACAGTGGAGATGAGAAGTCAGTATGCTGGTGTACCCGTTCAGTGAGCCTTCAGTCAAAGTAGATTATATGTGTGTTTGTTAGGTTACAGTGAGTTGCATTGTATAGGTTTTCATGCTTGTACCCATCTCCTCCTCGGTCACTGCTGTCTCCTCTGCTTTCTTCTTCGCCTCTAGCCTCCACTCCCTGGTCCCGTCGTCCTTCGGGTGCTCGTTCTTCGGTCCCCTGTTCCGAACCTCCACTCCCTACTTCGTTCTCTCCCTCCTCGTGCTCCACCTCCGTCTTTCCTCCCTTTTCCTCCTCTGACTAGTACCTTACTGCTCGCACTGTTGTCTCACGTATTCTCTCCCCTCTTGTCACGGACCCTACTGCCTCTCCGTCGTCCGTCTCGGCTCCTGTTGCCGCTGTCACTGACTTTGCCGCCACACGCCGCCTTGACTACGCCACCAGCTTGGTGGCTGCTCCTCCTTCCCGTCCTCTGTCCGCCAGGGGTAAGCTTGCCCTTGGCTGTGACGTCTTAGAGGATAGGCAGTTTGAGCTGGAGTTCCTTGCGGCCGCTTCTCCCCATCTCTGTGCTAGCTGCTATCCCGTAAGGGAGACCCTGACGCTCCAGACATACCGAGTCTTCGTACTTATCCTAAGGCAATTTCGAAACAGTGGGGGCCTCTCAGTGGAGTAGCAACCATGGAATTAGAGATGGCGACTTGGAGGTCCACAGGCACGAACGTCGACCCGGTTCCACCTCCCCGGGCGAATGTAGTCGATGGAATGTGAATCTTCAAGGTGAAGCGGCTTCCTGGAACGCCGACTGTCTTTAAGGTGCGCTACGTGGCGCAAGGCTTTAGTCAGCGTGAGAAAGTATACTTGTTTCAAACCTACTCCCCCACCCCAAATATGACCACTCTTCGGGTGCTACTACACGCCGCAGCACAGCGAGAATACGGGCTATTCTTGCTAGACTTTTCCACTACCTTCCTCCAGGGCAGTCTGCACGAGGAGATCTGGCTATGCTGTCCTTCTGGCCTCACTGGCACTTTCCCGCCTGTGACCCAGTGGAGCCGGAGACGACCAGACTACGAACTGCGCCAGGCACCTCGTGAGTGGCACGGCACTCTGCGCACCAGTCAGGCTGACCTTGGGTTCCGTCCTTCGCCCGCCGACCCGTCACCGTTTGTTCGTTATGGGTCCAATCCCTTTCTCATCCTCGTGTTCGTCGACGACTTGGTCTTCATCACTGCAGACGAGGTTAATCTGGTTTCAGTGAAGTCAGAACTGCAGAAGAGACACAGCTGCACTAACAATGGTGAGCTGCACAACTACCTTGGCTTGCAGTTCACCAGGGACAGAGCAGCACGCATTATCAATCTGACTCATCACACATGGTACACCACGTCTTTCAGTGGTTCGAGCTTCAGTTTTCCACCACACAACCTTCTCTTGCTGTTGACCACAAACTTACTACTCTTGTTCCCGTCGAGCCTGTTGAGCCTAGTGGTTGCTACGTAGAGCTTGGGGGTTGCCTCATA